AGGAGGACACTGGCCTCTGACCCAGGAGGACACTGGCCTCTGACCCAGGAGGACACTGGCCTCTGACCCAGGAGGACACTGGCCTCTGACCCAGGTAAGGTACCATGCCCCTCACTCTGCAGAACCCCAAGGACCTTAACAGAATCTCTACTCCTTTATTTAGCTAGATTTTTAATGGCACCTACCATGAGCCATGTGCCATGCAAGGTGCTGGGGACACGCTGTGACCAACACAAACCCTGTCTCTACCTTTGTGAAGCTGAGCTCCAGTAGGGGACCAGGTAATGGGAAGGGCGTAGCAGTGAGTACCGGGAGTCGGAACCCAGTGAGTGCCTGGGGTGTGGGCACCTGCTTGGGTAGTGCCCAGGCACTGAGGGGTGACACTGGAGCTTAGACAGAGAAAGATGACTATTATACAAACCCTGAGGAAAAGCTCTCATAGTCACAAAGGAGCCGGTGCAAAGCCCTGGGACAGAACTGAGTCCAGCAATAAAAAGAGGCCTGTGGGGGCGGTGGATGGAGGAGGGGTGGGCAGGGATTTGCATTTACTCTGTAAGCGTGGCCAGGGGCTGAGGGCTGGGCGTGGGGTGGGGAGGGGGGCACTGGAGGGCTCTCAGCAGGTGAGGTGCAGCCTGGAACCTTCCTGCCTGGGAGGAAGCCCCTCCAGCCCTTTCGCCTTAGTCCACCCCCTGCCCAGTGGTCTCACTTTAGGAAGGTCCCTCAGCTGCCCAGGGAGTGTGCGGAATGGGGCGGGGGACAGCGGGGAGACCCCCAGCTGCATCAGAGTCCCCAGGAGAGAGGATGGTGGCTGGGCTTTGCCCACAGACAGGAGGGACAGACAGACTCCTTCAAGGTCACGGCAACCTTCAGGAAGCTCAGCTGCAAGGCACTTGGTCTCCTCCCAACACCTCTCTCTCTTGCTCAAAATAAATGAGCTCAGAGGCCTATTTCTGGTGGGGCTCCCAGGTCCCTTCCCCCAAGCAGTGGAAAACAGCCACAGACACAAAGTGCAGGTGAGACCGAGGCTGCGGGGGACAGGCCGCCCACCCCTCAGTTCCTCGGTGGAACCTGACAGCGTCTTCCCTGGACTTGTAGCCACTTAACCTCTTTTTTTTTTTTTTTTTAAATCATTTTGCTTGTTTACAATTTAAAACTAACAAGAATCCTGTTTGTGACTCGGGGCTTGGCCACACCTCCACCAGGAGGTAGAAAGAAATGCCAATCATCCATTAGGCGAGCGGTGGCCTGCAGCCAGTGTCCACTGTCAAAGGGCAACGGAGTTTGGACGTTTGTGAATATTGTCACTGGCAGCAAATGTGAAGCTGTCCCAGGTGACACTGCGCAATCAGCTCTCCCGCCAATGCTGATCCCGCGGCGGGGCTGGAGCCTTTGGAACTCATTATTAAAATCGTAAACCAGCACCGAGCTGCCCGGAGTAGATGGCTTGTACTGAAGCAAGCGCTGCTCAAGGTAGCGGGTGCTCCGAGGGTCATGCATATGGATGTTTTCCGAGCGGTTATCAAAAAGAATTTGCAGCCGGGAAGCAATCAGCGCTCAGGGCTGCCTTGACGATCTGGCACCTGAGAGCGGGGCGTGGTTCAGGACGGCTGCAGGGGGGCTCTGATGGCACTTGCAGCCCAGCTGTGCCTGCTGCTCCTGAGCCTGGCTTCTCAGCAGAGCTTTGCAGAGCGGCTTTGAGCTTAGAGAGGTCGGTGGGGGCCTTGTGATGTGGCCTCAAGGGGGGCTGCGGGAGGATTCTGGGTCACTGTAAGGACACAGGTTGAGGGCTGCCACTCTGCCTCCGGGTGGAGGAGAGATTGTACGGCCTCAGGGCAGAGCAGGGAGACCTCAGAGGAAGCCCGTAACCAGCAGTCAGCTGAGCGGGGAAGGAGCTGGGTCAGAGCAGGCCACGGCAGTGGAGGGTGGGAAGGGGCTGGGTGAGTCTGGGGGCCCACGTGGGGAGCAGGAAGAAGGGTGCTCTGGGGATTGCACCTGGGCCAGGCTGGTGACTGAGCACCAGCTTCTCTCTTGGGATCGATAAAGGCTTGCTGTAGGTCCAGGCTGAAGTAAGAGAAATATTGAGGTTGGCTGATAGTTGGGTATTGGTGACTCAGGATGAAAACCAACAGAACATGCTGGAATGACAAAAGGAGCTACGGGTGTGATGGGGACACAGAGGGCAAGGGAAACCATGCGAGGGGGAATCCACCCCCAGGCCCGTGCGTTTACATGAGTAGATTTACATGTGTGTTTGGTATGCATGGGATTTGAACCCAGAGCCCAAGCTTTGGAGCTGGGCTATTTAATGTCGCTCTCTGGGTCGACATTAAGTCGTTCCAATTTGAAAGTTTATTTTTCGCTGTATAAATACTCCTGTGGGGGTCTTTATCCATGCATCTTTGCACTTGAATGTCCCTGGAGATGACTTCCAGGGAGTGACTGAGGTCTCAGGGTCGCGGTGGCCTCTGGCAGCCCCCACTTGATCAGTACCTGCTGCCTGGCCTTCCCAGGAGGCCGGGATCCCCCCCCCCAAGGTTGAACAGGCCTTTGAAGGCAGCCAGGCCTTTTCCAGTGATGGAGGGGGAGGAGGTGGGCCTTCGAACCTCTGTGGTTCAGTGCAGGTCAGCCACTTGTGCCCCCCAGAGCTGAACACATGTCCTCTCTCCCTGTGGCAGCCGCACGCAGAGGTGGAGTCTGGAAAAAATCCATCCTCTGATATTTTCTGCTCCTCCCACGGCTGCCCTGACGGTCTCCGGGCTGGAGACTTCTTGCCTGAGACAATCCTGGGCTTCCTTCCAGCCCCAGGGCACAGAGCGGCCCCCTCACCAGGTCGGGAGGACAGGCCTGGGGCAGGACAGGAAGAGAGTTCTCCGGGTTCCCAGCTGTGAGGGAGAGGAACAGGGGACACAGAGACCTTGTCCCTGTCATATCCTTTGGCCAGGAAGCCATGACAGGGTGGATTTTTGAGGGACTCTGAATAGGTGCTGCTGCTAACTGAATCCACACAAATCTCTGGTGAGGGTCTTTGGGGGCCAGGGCTTGGTCAGCCCTGGGAGTCCTGCCAGGTCGTCCTTGATTCTGGGGCCCCCAGCAGCCTGCTGACAGTGCGGAACAGGTAAACAGCCCCTGCTGCTGTTGTCCAAGGCTCGCCCCGGCCGCAGGAGGACAGGGGTGGCTGGGACAAGAGCAGAAGGAGGGGACCGTGGCTGATGCAGGGGTCCCCGGGGGTGGTGCTGGGGCTTGGAGCAGGACAGTGTGCCGAGGTGGGAGTGGCTGGCTTCCGAGTGTGGCTCTTGTGGGCGGCTTCAGGTGGGAGGGGGAGGGGAGGAAGGTCAGGGCTCCCAGGCTTCAGGCTGAGCCGTTGGGCAGTCTTGGGTGGTGCGGCGCAGAGACGGAAGGTCAGGAGCCGACTTGGCGGGGGCACAGGGTGGACTTCAGCTGTCCTGCGGATGTGGCCCACCAGGCTTGTGGCTCGACTGGCTCTGCCTCGCTGAACAGAGGCCTGCTGTCAAGAACAACACGCTGTGGTCACCCCGAAATGGTCACCACGAAATGGTCACCTCGAAATGGTCACCATGAAATGGTCACCTCGAAATGGTCACCACGAAATGGTCAGGCTAGGACGATGTCTGGGTGGAGTTTTTCCGAGAGGAAGTGACCAGTGATCTCAGAGTCCCAGCAATCGCACCGTGCCCGTCCCTCTGGGAGATCCCTCATCACTTCCCCTTTGTGGAGAATGACTGCAGCAGAATTTTCTTCCAGAAGATTCTGATACTATAGTTGGCGGAAGGCAAAGGCCCAAAAAAACCTTACAGCATGATTTTTTTTCCTGATTTTTCCATTTGATCTCCATTCACGAAGGTCAAGGCTGCCTCCTTGACATCTGCTTAATTGATTTGGGGTTTAGCAGCCAAATTTGGGCCTTGGATATTCACAGCTAAAGCCAAACCGGAAAAGACATTTGGCTTCGTTTATTAACATCTAAGAGTCGGGCACGGTGACCCCTCTGCGCCCCTGAAGGACACCTTGTTGGGAAGCAGCTCCTGGAATCCAGTGGGATCCTTCTGGATCATTCCGGGGATGTCCCCTTGCCTGGACGTGGCCTGATTGAGGCTCTTTGTCCTCCACGCCTGTCCCTCTGCTCTGGGACAGTCACCTCTCCACAGTGGCCCCCACACGGGCATTACTGGGGCAGATATTCCCCAGCTGATCCCACATCGTCCCAGGATCACTCCAGGGACACTTGCAGCCAGAGCAGGGCTGCCGAGCGACTTCCAGCCCAGGGAGACACGGTGGCTTCAGGGCAGTGCAGGACACAGGCTCCCCACCCCCAGCCCCAGCTTATGGCTCTCTGTCACCTGCTTGTGCAGTTCAAGGCCCCCTCGTACCCCCCCTCCTGAAACCCCCCTCACGTGGCTAGACCTGCAGCCGCTTCCTCCCGCACAGCCCTGGGCTCACGTGGCCTCGTCTCTGAGCCACCCCGAGTGCCCTGCTCACAGGTCTCTGTAGGGGCCGGGGAGAAGTGGGCAGCTGAGGAGGTGGACAGGTGAGGACACGCCCCATCTCCCCACGCTCCTCCCACTTGACCGGCCTGTGTGGAAAGGGGACAGTAGGAGCAGGTGCTCGTCCTGCCTGGCGGCCTGCCACCTGCTCTCCGTCCCAGGGACCTGACCTGCTCCAGGAGTCCCTCCTGGGCTGGCTGACCTCACGGTGGCCGCCTCATGGTCCTGGAGAGGCCGGCTCCGAGCCAGCAGGACAAGCAGAGGCCACCGCCGGGCCGTCCCTCCAGTCCCCGCGGCCCTGTCTTCACCTTGGCCATTCTTGATAAAAGCCTGGGTGAGCCCACGCGTGGGCCCCCTAAACTTGGCAAGACGTCCCCCGCCTGCCTGCAGGAGCTGCCACTCAGCCCCGGGCCGGGGTGGGCAGTGGCCAGCCCCACAGCCCACAGCCTGTCCCCCGGCCTCCCCAGGGAAGGAGGAGTCCAGGTTTAGGTGGGACCCACTGCAGAGATCCTGGAGGCCGCTCCCTGAGCTGTGGCCTGGGACGTCTGGGATCCGTTTCCTCCTCAGAGTCCCCTGTGGTCATCAGAGAGAGGCAGGTGAGTGTCCAGGGGCCTTCATGAGAGGGTCCCAGGCTCTGCCAGGTGTCACGAGCGCTTCCTCAGGTGTGAGGCATGGCACCAGGTGACAGGTGACAGTCACCTGGGATCTTACTGGGGTTCTCCTCCTCCCAGGCTCTTTCTCCTCCCGCCCCCCTGTCTCCCTTACGCCAATCACACAATTGAACACGCAGACGACACAGGCCCTTGGACAGCCCCCAGCGGACACACCTCATCCCCCTGCCAGAGGCCCTCTCAGTCAGAACCGTGGAGAACGCGTCCCCTCATGAACCCACAGACTCACACACGTCAGCTGGAAAGCATCAGGAAAACACACCACGAAGAAAGATGCAGCAGATCGCGTTGCTGACAGCCACAGGTGATCTCTGAGGAGGCAGCCTCTGAGGAGGCTGAGGTAGGGAATGAGACAGGTGGCTCCACGGGGAAGAGCAGTCCAGGTGGAGGGACTGGGAAGTGCAAAGGTCCTGAGGCAGGAGCTCTTTCAAGATGTTAAAGGTGACCAAGGCTGGGGCGGAGTGGGAGGGAGGATGGGCTCGCATCATGGAGGACCTTGCTGGCCTTCGCAGGCTTTGGCTTTTATTCTGTACAGGAGAGGTGGTCACCAGAGGGTTTCAAGTAATGGAATATGAAGGTCTGACCTAGTGTGTGGAAAGGCCCACAGGGCAGGACACAGGCAGGGCAGGGCAGAGGGCAGGCGCCGGAAGACCAGTCAGGAGACCTGAGACCTGAGGGACAGTCGGGGGAAGGTGGTGCTAAGATATGGATTTAGGTCAAGCCCTGGGGCATGTCGACCCCATTATTGTCACTGTGTCCCCCATGTTCCTAATGAGCCTGACACCACAACATCCAGTTATTTATTTAGAGTTGAACACACGCCCGTAGCAAGCCGCCATCTCCTGGCTGTCCATCCCCTACTGTCCCCCGGGCCTTTGCGGAAGGGGAAGGGGCTGCAGGAGGGGGGTCTGAGGGGTCTCTGTGTGCAGCAGCTGAGGGGTGGCTTGGACCCAAGTTTCTGGTCTAGAAAGTGGAGCCAGATGCCCTGAGAGTCCGTCTGCGTCAGGGCTGGGGCCGGGCGGGGGATGAGGTCAGATGTTTGTGTGTGCTCAGAACTCTGGACGGGGTCTGCCCAGCCGCTCCTGGAGTGTGGACGTCACCCAGCAGCGCCTGGCGGGCCAGCAAGCCTGGGGCGTGCCACCGCGTAACCCTGAAGTCCAAACAAAGAGCAAGTATCACGAAGGCGTCCATCTGGAGAGTTTTGCTTGTTTGAGACTGAGATGTAAAAGGCAAATCAGTTTAAAAACAGCATTTGCTAAATAACTGTCCAGAGACCCCCAAAGTGACCCAGAATAGAAACCCCGGGGGGGTGTGAGTGAGTTCTGGCAGCTGGTTGACCCCCCACTACCCCGAGCCCGTCAGAGTCACAGAGAGAGGTGTCAGGGTGACCTCACCCACGGCCCAGCGAGGGGGAAAGGTTTAGTCATGGAAAGACACTGGGTCTGTTTTCCCCACACCTCCCCGGGCGGGCGGGCGGGCGGCTGCTGGGGAAAACAGGTTTGGTCTGCTCCCCAGCTCCCCGCTTCTCTTACACATTCAAGCTGCTTCCCAGCCTCCAGCGCTCCGCTCCCCCTCCCCTCTGGCTGTCCTGTGGATCAGGGCTGGGCGCTGGGGATCGGGTCACGTATTTTTGTGTTAAAGCTGTTGGTGTATAAAGCCTGGTAGTCACAGCATTTTTAATAAATCAGGTTAGTGTTCCAGGGGGAGGCTTGCTTGTGCCGTTCACGCACAAACGCCTCCATCATTTAAGAGGCTTGTTAGAAACGGCGGTTTAGGAGCAGATGAACCAGGCTCTGGGCAGCAGATGCCTTGGGCAGGGGCGGGCGCTGGGACAAGCAGAGGGAGGGCGAGAACCGCCAAGCTACCTGCCTCCAACGTCAGGCGGGTGTGAGGGCGGGGGCTTTAGAGCCTGGTTTTGAGCTGCCCGTCCACTGGGGCTGCTGCAGAAGGCCTAGACTGGGGGACTTATGAACCGCAGAGATGACTTCCTCCTGGAGGCGGAGAAGTCTGCGATGGAGGCACAGGGGGAGTCGGTGCCTAGGGGCAGCGCCCTGCTTCCAAGGTGGCTGCGTGTTCACGTGGTGCCAGGGACGGGAGGGCAAGAGCCCTTTCCTCAGGTGCTGATCCCATGCAGGAAGCTGGGCCTCAGCACCCCTTCTCCTCCCAAGGTCGCACCCCCAGGAGTAGGGGTCAACATGCAGCCTGAAGGGGCCACCCTCTGTTGAGCTGTAGCAGCCAGGGTCAGCCCTGGACCCTGGGGAGAAGGGTGAGGAAATCGGGGTCCCCACACTCCAGGGGTGCTTACTCCTCACCTGGAGTGAAGACACTGCTTCATGGACTCATTAGAAAGCAGCGTGCTCAGCAAAGGACCCCGGCACCACAGCAGGTGCCCGCCGCAGACGCCGTGGACAGACACCTAGAACAGGAAATGTCACAGAACTGGGCGGCTCCTGGGAGGGGGGCCTGGAGTGGACAGGAAGGGACACTGACCAACTACTGCATCCTGGAGAGCAGGAGCTTCCAGGGCCTGGCAGGGAGAGACTTGGGGAGGACCTTGCCTTTGGCCTGATGAAGGTCATGGAGGGCCTGTCTCTGACAGCCCCCAGGCCCTGCCCCCAGCCTGTGTAAGAGTTGTCCAGTGGATGGATGGCGACGGGGGGACTTGAGGGTGGCCCACGAAGGTTCACAGGAGATGAGGGCCAGCTTCAAGCAGTGGAAGGGGTTTCCCCAGTGAGAGACATAAAGACCCGTGACCTTTACTCTGACAGTCCCCCATTCAGCTCAGGAAAGCCATAGAGTCTGCTCAGCAATTAAAAACAGAGACGTCATGGTGAAGGGTGGGACACACAGGAGAGAGTTGGTGCCAGCTGTGTGGCAAGGGGAGGGATAACCGTGGCTTTAGCATAGGGTTGAGGTCTCATGTGCTAACCTCCACAGAACCCACGGGACCACAGTGTCCCCAAGTGCTCACCCAGGCTGCCCACCAGCCAGCAATGCACTCCGTGACACCCAGAGCCATCTAGAAGGTGCCCGGAGAGGGGCAGTGGCCTCCTGGTCTACCTCGAGAACTTGTTCCTGAGTCCGAGGACCCCATGTGCCGGCTTGTCAGGGCCCAGGGGAGCTTCCCCCTCAACTGCAGCCTTGGACCCTCCACTAATGGGGACCCCAGGCTCTGTCCCCAGGCTGGCCTTCCCCTTCCTCACTTGCCTTGTGTGGACTGGGCCCTCCAGGCCCCCAGTCACTGGGACGATCTCAGAAGATAAGTGACATGAAGAAATGAGTAACTGGCTGCTGGGAGGCAGAGGGGGCTGGGGGAGGTGTCGACCTGAGAGAAGATGGCAGGGAGTTGACATCCCACAAGAGACCTGTGTGAACGGACATCCTGGAGGAAGACCGGCCAGCGGGAGCAGCCAGGAAAGGCCCTGCAGCCGACTGAGTTTGGTGAGTTTGAAAGAAAACAGGCCCCTGTGGCCGGGGTGGGACGCAGCACTGGGACCTGCAGGGGCTGTGGACCGGGGTGAGGACCTTGAAGGGGACCACCAGGAGTGATGGGGGTTTTAGCGAGGAGGCTTGTGGCCCATGTTCCGTGGGCTGGGAGGAGGGGAGGTGCCAGCGGAGCGCGGAGGGGGCTGCGGGGTGGGAGACCGGGGTCCTCCCCAGGTGGTAGCCCGGCGCCCAGCGCGCTCTCTGCAGGGCCTGCCGCGGGCGAGGCCTTCCTCCAGTCCCCAGCACTGACCACTTTATTTGACCCCCAGCCAACCCCGAAGCGGTGCTGTTGTCATCTCCATCTTACAGAAGAGGGAACTGATGTGGAATCATTTGTCCAAGGTGTCCCACCGAGTAAGAATCACTGCCAGGATTTGAACCAAGGTCACCCTGCTGTCCCCGCCCCCAAAGGCCACCGCCAGTGGAAATCAGTCCTGAAGATCTCTCCAGGGCCCTTCAATATTCAAGACCCTAACAGCGCTTTCCAAATCCCGGGTGGTGGAGGGGTGTGGGGGTGGGGGAGGCCCTAGCTGGTTGCTAAGCAACCTCTCCGTCTCCAGGAATCCAGGGGGCAGGAAGGAAGGCCGTCATTGGCAGCCCCAGTAACCACGTGTTTGGGACCTGCCAATCAGAGCATCCCATCCCCCGACTCCGGTGTTGGCTCAGGTCGTTCCTGGGACCCAAGTTGGTCAAGACCCAGGGCTTGGGCTTGAGTGTGGGGAGAGACGCACTCTCCCGCTGGGGGGCTACGTCGCAAGGCCTTCCCTGCCACCTCCAGGGACACGCGGGACTGGGAGCGAGAGGTCAGGCGGGCCCAGCGCTGGGGAAAGGTCCTGCTGAAACCGAGTAGCAGATGGAGTCAAGCTTCATACGAGCTGATTTTCTTCCGTCGTTAAGCCCATTGAGCGGGATTTCTGTCCCCTTTAACCTAGAGTGTCATGGCAGGTGCTGGTCCCTCTGGGCTGGCTCCCAGTGGCTCCCCATCACATGTGATGCCACCCAGTTGTCCCTGCAGCCTTTGGCTCGCTTCCTCTCAGAGCCAGAGAAGCCCCAGGGAAGGAGTGATTCCTCTCCCTCCTGCCAGCTGTCCTTCCACGTGGGTGCCTGGTCACGCCTGCAGGTGGAACACATACGGTGGTCAGGCCTGGACACCTGTCAGTCCCAGGCCCGGGAGCGTGAGGCAGCAGACTGAATCATGTAGGGCAGGCAGCTGAATGTAAGCGGTGACCTGGCAGGGGCAGATCATGGGCACCCACCGTGGGACAGCCTGGAGCAGGGGCCAAGAGGGGCTCAGGACTCAGTGGACAGAGGTGGGGAGCAAGCCTCTGTCCCTCTCCAAGCCCCAAGTGGATACACCAGAGTCCAGGTCCCCATTTGCCCACTGTACTGGGGGGGGGGGGCTTTCTACTTGGCAGAGAAGATGTGAGAAGAGCCCCGGGTGGAGGGGGAGTCCTAGGGTGGAGGCCGAGACCTAGGCTGGAGGTGGAGTCCTGGGTGGAGGTGGAGCCCTAGGGTGGAGGTGGAGGTGGAGCCCCTGGGTAGAGGTGGAGACCCTGGATGAAGGAGGAGCCCCGGGG